CGCTGACCGCCCCCGCCCGCCCCCTGCAGCACAGCGCCCCCCGCTGAGGCCCCGCCAGCCCTCTCCAGACCGCACAGCACCCCCTAGCTCTGCACTGGGGCATTGGGGCCAGTGCTATGCCCCCTGCCTCTCTCACCTCCATGGAGAACTGTTTGTGATTGATGAAATGCTCTGAGCCAGGCCGGGCTGCCCCCTGGCCCCAGTGGAGGTGGAAGGATTTGGCTGTGTAGATAGCTGGGAGCCCCTGGGCACTGAGATGGAGCCCATCCGCTAAATGCACCTCCACTGTAGCGGGGGAGAGAGACCAATGCAGGGAATGGGACCCAGGCGTCTGGAGTGGCAGCACTGGGCACTCACCCCTGGGGGAGAGACCAGGGTGGGGAATGGGACCCAGCAGGGCTGTAATATGGGTGGGGTGAGCGGGGCCGCCAGCCAGGTGTGCCCCAGTGTTTGAAAACTGTCACCTCCTGCCAAGAGCCAGGAGCCAGGAAGCTGGTGGGCCCCTGGCTCTCTGAGCTGTGGGAGCCGGGGTGCTGGCTGGATGTCAGGCGGCCCCCCCTGCCCGGTGCACCGAGCCAGGCCACCTCTGCACGGCCAGGTGCTCCCCAGGCAGCTCCTCTCCCCTTCTGTGCTAAATGGAAGGCAAAATCGGGTGGGGGGCACAAGCCCCCTGCCTGTCCCCCAATGTGTCGCCTCTGGGGGGCACAAATATGTTTGCTCACAACAGGTGCTAAAATGCCTAGTTCTGGCTCTGGGACCCCGGCATCCGGCATGGCAGCGCAGGGTGCTCGCTTTAGGGATCAGTCTGTACCTACCTGTCGTCCCCTTGTTTTTCATGTAGATAAGCTTCCTGGCATCCCCATAGCCAGCGAGGGACACAGCCCCCAAGTGGGGATTGTGGACAGCTGCAGGGGTGACGATGTTGATCGGGGACTGCCTGGTGCCGTTACAGTGCCCCAGAGCTGCCCATGTCTCTGGACCTGCCGAGAGGGGAGGAGCCAACATGGAGGGGGAAGGGCCAGAGAAGGAAATGGGGGAGGAGTCAGAATGTTAATCAGCTGCTATCACCCACCCCAGAGGTGGCTGCATGATGCAAATTTTAGACCTGGAGTCAGGATTCCTGGGTTCTGTCCCTGACTCTGGCAGGGGAGTGGGCTCTGGTGGGATAAAGTGGGGGAAATGGGAATCAGGACTCCTAGGTCTTTGCTGCAGCTACTGCCAAGGAATGCTGTCTAGTGAGTTAGAGCAGGGGAGTCTCCTGGGTTTTACATACGGCTCTGGGAGGGGGTTGGAGTCTTGTGGTTTAGAGCAGGGGGGTGGGGCTGGGAGTGAGGATTCCTGGGTTCTATCCCTGGCTCTGGAACGCTGACACTGCCCTTCTCTGTGCCTCGGTTTCCCCACCCATCCAAATGTGGGAAAACAGTAATTAACTCCCGCACTGGGTGAGGTCAGAGAGTGGATGTCTGTGTCGCAGGGGATGGATGGGTTCTCTTACCGCATTTTGGGTCTTCGTAGCACCAGGTATCTGCAGAAGAGAGAGAGAGGTGGGGGAGGGGGTCAGAGTTGGGAGATGGCCAATAAATAACCACATCCTGCTGCCCCCTCCCCTGGGTTTGGCCACAGCAGGGAGGGTCACTTTAGAGCAGGATCAGGGGCGGGCTGGGGAGCAGCGTTACCTGCTGTATCGGTACTGGTGTAGCCGGCTCCCAGCAGCGTCCCCAGGACAATGAGGTGCGGTACCCAGGCGAGATTCATGTCTCCGATGTCACCTACTGAGAGCAACTTGGAGGAAGGATTGGAGAGACTGGATTCAACTCCCCTGCCCTGAGCCAGCCAGGCCCCACTCTGGGGCCAGATCGGAGCCGGTGCCCTAGAGGGGACGGGCCCCATGCTCCATTTCCCACACCTAGGGCCAGTAGCGCCCCTGGGGGAGACGGGCTACGTGCCCTATTTCCCACCGCGGGAGCTGGTGACCCTAGAGGGGACAGACCCCATGCCCCATTTCCCACTCCTGGAGCCTGTGCCCTAGAGGGGACGGGCCCCATGCTCCATTTCCCACACCTAGGGCCAGTAGCGCCCCTGGGGGAGACAGGCTACGTGTCCTATTTCCCACCCCTGGGCCAGTGGCGCCCCTAGAGGGGACGGGCCCCTAGGGATGCTCAGCAGCGAGTAGCTCTCACCTGCGCTGTGTCTGGTGGAGGAAGGTCACACTGCAGGGGTGAAGGCTCCTCACAGCTCCTTATATACACGGGGTCACCGCCTATCCCAGCCCTGCCCAGCCCAGTGTGGCCGGGGGTGGAATTACAGGGAAGGGATGAGTTACATCCACGGGGTGGGGCAGGGACAGAGAGAGGTCGGGGAGGGAGGGAGAAAGAAAACCAGGGAGCTGAAAGAGAAAGGAGGGAAGGAAAGAGGGGGACGGTGGGAAAGAGGAGAAAGGGGCTCCAGCCTGGGTGTGTCTCCCTTAGGGTGCCAGCCCCCAGTGCCAGGGCCACCCCCTGGGAGGCCGTGGGCACCCCCTGTAGGAGGAGAGCTGGTCCCAGATATCCACGTTGACTTTCGCTCTTCTTGGAGGGGATGTGCGGGAGAGATGGCGCAAGAACTAAGTGACACAGGGTAGCCCGGCATGGGGCACAGCACGTCCCCCACTGCTGGAAGGGCACCTCGCACCCACCTTGGGGTGAACGGATGTCCCTGAACCACTGCCCTCAGTGATTGGCACTCAGAAGATAGAGAGCGCCATCTATTGAGCCCCTCCCACCCCATTCCCTGCAGCACAGCACCCCCTAGCGCTGCACTGGGGCCTTGGGGTCAGACTGATGACAATGGGGGAGCGCCCTCTACTGAGCCCCCACTCTGTTCCTTGCAGCGCAGTGCCCCCTAGTGCCACTCTGGGGCATTGGGCCGGCACCCGTTGTTCCAGAGTCTTTCAAACACTTCCCAGAGTTTATGTTAGCCAGGCTCCCTCTAGAGCGGGTCCATGCAATCCCACGAGAATGCAGAAACATCTGCCTGTTTAATACCATGAACTTCTAGGGTACTTCATTAAGGGTATTGCAGGAAATTACCGTCTCGGTCACACCTGGCTTTCTTGCTTTTTGCCTCTGCTTCTCTCTGTTCTATGTGTTTTCCTTTCACACACACATGGGGCAGGGCTCATCCCTCCAGCAGGGGGCAGTAGGACAAACGAGAGGATGGACACACACACATGAAGCAGGGCTCACGCCTCCAGCAGGGATTAGTAGGACAGATGGATGGACACACATACACACCACTCAGCAAACCCCCCTGTTACGGGTTTGGTCACAGGGACCTCTTGGGACTGTCACCTGATGTGCTGAAATTACCTCCACGTCCATTTTCCCTGCCAGCTTGGGACTCCAGAACCCTGCCTTGTTGAGCCAGACATGCCAGCCTGCTACAACACAGACCCAGGTCTGAACCACGCCCTCAAAGCTGCAGACTTTCACCAAAAATTGCTCAGCAGGTTTCCTATCTCCAGCACCCAGAAACCAAGCTCCCAATTCAATCCAAACCCCAAATAAATCCATTTTACTCTGTATAAAGCTTATACAGGGTAAACTCATAAATTGTCTGCCCTCTATAACACTGATAGAGAGATATGCACAGCTGTTTGCTCCCCCAGGTATTAATCACTTACTCTGGGTTCATTAATAAACAAAAGTGATTTTATTAAGTATAAAAAATTGGATTAAAGTAATAACAGGCAGAACAAAGTAAGTCACCATGCAAAATAAAGCAAAAACACACAGTCTAAGCCTAATACATTAAGAAACTGATTACACATACTATCTCACCCTCAGAGATGTTCCAATGAGCTTCTTACACAGATTAGACTCCTTTGTAGCCTGGGCCCAATCCTTTCCCCTGGTACAGTCCTTGTTAGTTCCAGCAGACATCTTAGGTGGAAAAGAGGGGCTTTCTCATGACTGGCAACCTTAGGTGGTAAGCAGGGCTGTTCTCATGACTGGCCTTCTTTGTCCTGTTCCATCCCCTTTTATAGCTTTGGCACAAGGTGGGAATCTTTTGTCTCTCTGGGTCCCCACCCCTCCTAAATGGAAAAGCACCAGATTTAAGATGGATTCCAGTATCATGTGACATGGTCACATGTCCTGTAAGACCTCATTCTTCATTACCCAGGGTCTGGCCTATACATACACAGGAAGGCTTGCAGTAAATAAACCATCTACAACCAATTGTCCTAGTCAATGGGAGCCATCAAGATTCTAAACCACCATCAATGGCCCATTACAATAGGACCTCAAAGTTATACTTCATATTTCTAGCTTCAGATACAAGAATGATACATGCATACAAGTAGGAGGAATATATTCAGTTGGTTATAACCTTTGTAAGACACACGCATCTTTTGGATCACAGGCCTGTTCAGGAAGCTGCAAGCCGGGACTTTCTTCCCAGACCAGAAGATCACTGTGAGGGAAGTCAAAATGCCCATTGTGATCCTTGGAGACCCGGCTTACCCTTTAATGCCATGGCTCATGAAACCCTATACAGGGAGCCTAGACAGCAGCAAGGAGCGGTTCAACAACAGACTGAGTCGGTGCAGAACGACTGTTGAGTGTGCTTTTGGCCTTTTAATGGGCCGCTGACGCTGTCTGTATAGGAAACTGGACCTGGCCGATGACAACATCCTCACGGTTATAGCCACGTGCTGTACCCTCCATAACATTTGTGAAGGGAAGGGTGAAAGCTTCACTCAGGCATGGACCGCGGAGGTTCAACACCTGGAGGCTGAATTTGAACAGCCAGAGAGCAGGGCTATTAGAGGGGCCCAGCGCAGGGCTGTAGGGATTAGGGATGCCTTGAGGGAGCAATTTGAGGCTGAAAGCCACCAGTAATGTTAGGTGCCCGGCACGGGAGTGAAGTGCAGAGGTTCCAATGCTAGTAGGCATCTGTGTTTGCTGAGTATGATGCACTGACTTGCAATGGCTGTTGCTTTCCTGGGCTATGGTATGTTTTACTTAATGCAATAAGTAGAGTCAGAATGAGCTCTCTCCTGACATCTGGTGGTGAGCTGTGGAAAAGGACTTCCAGGGCTGATCTCGTTTGCACGGGCACACCCATCCTGCCTAGCATGATGGCACTGCTTGCCCAAATGGTCACTTTGGCTGCTGTGGGATCCCCAGTCTCTTTGTTATTGGGGCAGGAGTAATAAAGTGTTGTTATCCTGGTTATGTGAATCAAGGACAGTAGAACTGTACTTGGCATTTTATGATGGAGGGATTCGCCCTCAACTAAGTAACGCTTGCTAGGCAAGGGACATGGGTTCCAAAGCCCAGTGAATTGAAAGAGGTTGGGTTCTGTTATCATATTCAGCCTTCCTCCCTGGAGCGTTGTGTAATGAGTGCTGCATTTCAGGCTGGCTAAAATGCATGGTGATGGGAGTTGAGTGGAGTGGATAAGGGTTGTAGTTTGCAGGGCTGGGTGGTGAAGCTACAGGTGTTCGAGGCAGCTGCTGGTGATAAGAAACTGGATGTTGAGGGAAGTGGGTTGGTGGTGATATGGGGGCACAAAGGAAAGAGTTTTAGGACAAGGGCTACAGGGGAGGGTGGGCGTGGATCTGCTCTGTCTGCATTGATACAAGCGCCTGGATCGAGTCCACTTGGCGCTCCACGATGCTTAGGAGCCGCTCCGTGCTTTGGTGCCGGCGATCAACATTCTGCTGCCAGAGCCTCCTTTCACTCTCCCGCCACTCCTGTACTTTTTGATTTTCAGTAAGAGAGAGCTCCATGACTTCATGCAGCAGGTCCTCTTGGGTTCTTCGCGGAGCCCTCCTGATTCTTTGCAGTCTTTCGGCCAGTGACCACAAGGACGGCTGGGATCTCAAGGTTGCTTCTGTAAAGCCAAAATGCAACAGTTAACAGAGGCAGCATTGTTCATACTAGACAGAGCAATGATTCGGCCGTATTTAAAGACAAGTACAGTGTACACAATAGCAGAATTTGCCCGTCCCAAAGGGAGCGCACATAACCCAAAGGAGCCCCAAAATGGTGAGTGAGCACAGGGGCAAGGGGGACTGATTGTTTCAGGGCCGCACTGTCCTCTGGGGTTCTGTGCCTTGGGGAGAGCCAACAGCTGTAGGGAGCCCATATACTGAACATTGTCCCCACATTTTCCACAGGATGAGTTAATCCTGGAAGATATTACACCTGGCTTTCTTGCTTTTTGCCTCTGCTTCTCTCTCTTTTCTATGTGTTTTCCTTTCACACACACACGGAGCAGGGCTCATCCCTCCAGCAGGGGGCAGTAGGACAGATGGATGGATACACACACATACTACTCAGCAAAACCCCCTGTGACGGGTTCAGTCACAGGGATCATCTTGGGACTGTCACCTGATGTCCTGAAATCACCTCTTAGCCCGTTTTCCCTGCCAGCTTGGGACTTCAGAACCCTGCCTTGTTGAGCCAGACACGCCAACCTACCGCAACACAGACCCAGGTCTGAACCACTCCCCCAGAGCTACAACTTTCTCCAAAAATTGCTCAGCAGGTTTCCTATCTCCAGAACCCAGACACCCAGTTCCCAATGGGATCTAAACCCCAAATAAATCTATTTTACTCTGTATAAAGCTTATACAAGGTAAACTCATAAATTGTCTGCTCTCTATAACAGTGATAGAGAGATATGCACAGCTGTTTGCTCCCCCAGGTATTAATCACTTACTCTGGGTTCATTAATAAACAAAAGTGATTTTATTAAGTATGAAAAGTAGGATTTAAGTGGTTTCAAGT